ATCATGCTTATTTCATAAAAATCCACCAAAAATTGGATGTTATGGAAGTTACAAACACAATTTGTTTGGTAGAAACCTGGGAAATGTTTCACTTAATTTTTTAAAATTTTATTTAGATTATAACCTTAACATAAGTTGTTCATTTATCTTCTGATGTTTTGCATTAAACTTTTAACAAATTCATTTTGTAAAAAGTTTAAAGCAAAACAGGAGAAGAAAATTAACTAAATAAAACCTGACAAGAAATGTCAATCTGCAGAAATAAAACAAGTAAAAAATGTGTCAGTGTGAAAAGTGTAAGTGATTAGTCAAAGTCATTAACAATCATTTTTCTAACCTGAAAAACGTGATGACAGCCAAAATTTTTTTTTTATATTTCACTCACAGAAAGAGAGAATATAATAACATATTAAGTGAACTTGAGATATTTCTCTGAATCATCCAGGAGTTTATTAACCCATTTTCCTTCCTTTTCAAACATATCTCAAACTTCTAAAAACATTAATGTTTATAGTAATTCCACACTTTTTCACTCTACCTTAAGAAAAGCATACACTACTGGGATACCTAAATGCTCTCTATTGGGACAGAAACCTGAAACTTCTTCAATTATACCTATTTCAGTGATTTGTATGAACACTTATACTAATGTGATTAAATTTCTCCAAAGGTCATATTTCAAAAAAATTAACTACACATTAGCCATCCAGAACAATGTTCATAGTGCACTTACTTCATTCAAATTTTAAATTTCAGAGCTTTATAAAATATTCATAATAATATTAAAATATCACCCTAATTCAAAACTAATTTTCTTTCTGGTCCTGTGAAGATGTTATAATTAAGAATTTGTAACCATCAACATACAGAAGGCAACAACATAAATGAACCAATAATCAAAAATTTAGAAAGTTGCTTTCATTTGGTTATTTTCTCTTCCAAATATCTTCGTGTGCACTTACCACCATTTCTAAAAACTTTTGTAAGACTGAAAATTACAAAAATTCATAGCACAATTGCACACATACAGCTACTATCTTGAAACATCAAAAAGTTCATTACAAAAGTGATATAAAAGTTGAACATTTATATACATAATTTTGCATTACATCATACATTTTTCTCATTGCTATTTTCCCTTCTCTATAATTTCATGGTATAGAAAAATAAAGTAAAATTATTCATTATGCAAAAGAACATACATTTCTACATTTTATAAGAACATTCAGAAAAAATTTCATAAAATGTACTTGTAAACAAACTGAATAGCTCCAGATACTTTTTGTCCAGTTTTCATCAAATTCATTTAACTTTATAGATGAGTTTAGCCCCCATTCATGCACTCAATAATATGTTTAAAAGGCAAAATAAATACTTTTTAATTCATGGTTAATGTTACAAGCATAACATCATTACATAAATACATTATACCATATTCTGAAAATATTTTTAAAAAATGAAGTAAAAATGTTGGAACTTACTTTTCACTTTAATGAATACCTAAAATAACAGACAAACCAAGTTAATACAAATATTCTTTAATGTAAAAAGTGAGATCATGAATACAGATATCTGCCTCAAGCAAGAATGTGGAACTTCAACAAGTCATAGGGAATCAATGCCATAAAAAACAAATTTACGGCATGGAAAGTATTATGTAAATAAATGAAACATCATAACCCTAAATTTCTTTTTTCTACATACCATATTGACCTGCATATAAGACAACGTTTTTACACAAAAATAGAGCTTTACAATTTCGATATATTATAATTGAGAATTTGCCAAATTAGTAGTTCTTTTGGTGATAATTTGTAAGTATATCAGCATTGCCAAACGGATTTTGATTTGAATTGTTAATATACCTACATATTCATTGGGCCGTTTGCTAAATTTCATCTAGTTTTGAGTTTGTTTGCTAGAAAATGCTAAACTACGTCAGGGTGCTTCTGACTGACTACGGCCATGTTCAGACACGTGAGCAATTGTAGTTGTTGGTGTACACTCTTTGCTACTTGTGTGAAATAAGTTACAAGTCTACATTAAGGATCACGAAGAAAGCAGAGGCACCACTAAAGCACAAGCTTGGAAAGGCTTGAGAAATTATTTTGATGGCAATTTCAAGAGAATGGTGGTAACTCATGCTGAAGAAACTAACAGTTGCGAAGCTACACATAACTTTTACAATTGCTTAAGGCCAATGTAAGGCAATGGAGAATGCTGAAAGAAGACTTAAAGAATGCAGTTTCTATCAGGAAGGGATTTAGAGGTCTTAAATCTGGAAGACATGAGGAATTGGAAAAGAAAGTTGTTGAATTTTATATGGGAGAAGCTCCAAGAAGGAAAGCCAGTTTTAAGAGAGGTTATTTGAATGAAACCTTTAAAAGTTGCATCTCAATCAAGAGACGTGATTTCAGGAAAGCATTGGTTGGGTAAGAAGTATAAAGAGGGGAAATGGGCTTGCATTATGGCAACATAATTTGTTGAGCATTTGGACTGTTGATGACTGTTGTTGACTGTTGATAAAAAGGAGGCAAAATCAGTGTCAGTGAAGAAATTCAGCCAACTGATGGGCCTAAGCTTCCACCCTGTGTAATTCTGAAATGAAAAATATTATCAAAAGAAAAATTGCCTACAGGTCTAAATATTAGATGCTGAATCAATATTTGGATGACAAACAAATTGACAATATCGCACAGGTTTGCTAGTTCTTGAAGCAACGAAAAGCCACATGACTGAAAATTTCCAGTCTGGAGTCAGAAAATAAAAATGTGATTTAGAGATAATTCCATGAGTTATGACCTCCCAACTGTAGGTCTTCGATGTTGTTGTGTGCAAGCCTTTTAAAGACAATCTAGAAAGCAGTAGGAAAAAAAGACGGGCAACCAAATATAAGTCTTCATGGAAGATGGTTGAAAGCTGTTTGGGAATCTATTTCCCAAGAAAGTATTATAAGGGGTTTAAAAAAATGTTGCCTCTCTTACAATATGGATGAAAATGATGATAACATTATGTGGGGAAGATAAAAGATGAGACTGAAGAACAGAAGAGTGATGATTATAATGATGATCACCTTAAAATCTTTTTTCTATTCTGGAGCATAAAAATAGAGTCTTATAATCATGTCAAATGTAGTGACACCACACTTAGAAACATACAATTTTCAGACAGTCTATATAAAATAATTCCAAAGTGTAATTAAACAACAAGCAAATGCTGCTTAAATAAAATACAGATTTAAAAGTTCATTTTTAAACATTTTGAAAGCTGAACCGTGCATTAAACCACAGCAAAAATTCAAAAATAAGTTTTACGAGTTGGTAAATTCTTTTTACTAATCTGACTTTTCCACAATTTACCTGCATAAACAAAGAAAGGGGGGGGGGGAAAAAAAAAAGGTATTTTATCTTTTTTTTGGCCGTTTTTTTAAAAAGGTTTAAAAAATTTTTTTTTAAAAAAAAAAAGTTACAAATTTTGCAAAATAATTTAAAAAAACTGGGCCAAAAGAAAAAAAAAAAAACCCTGGGGGGGGGGGGGGGGGGGGGGGGAAAAATGGGTTACTTAAAAGAAATATTTTCCAAATTAGGCAACAAGCATATGACAAGCTTTACAATAGAACATCAAACTTTCAATTCATGAATTCAGGTAAACAGACTGATTCAATAAACAATAATCAAAACTAGTGTAACACTTAACAGAAAAAGTCAAGAAATAGATGCCACTTTTAGGCTTAACTCAAAGTTTGTGTAAACACTACACATGGTTCCAGTCTCCTTTGATTCATTAATATTTTTTAGAATTATTTTAAATTCAAGACTGATAAATGGTTTTCTCCATGAGATTTTACATAACCCACAGCAAAACATATTTCAGAGCACTTTATGGTAATAAAAAATAATAGTCCAGATTCATAATTTCATTTCTTTGAATTTCAAAATTTCAAACATTCATTCACTGGCAAAAGAGAAAGTTGTGGACACATATGTGCCTTCAAAATTCAAATTATTTTCCATTATTTTACTTTAGAAGAAAACCATTTTCGAGACAAGATCTAGTCTTTATGACAACTTGTACTATCTAACAATATATATATATATATGTACTCTCCAAGTTTCTTTCTTCAAATTATGAAGAAAACACATTTCAACTGCAAAACGTCCTCATTGCAACTAATAAAGTGAATTCTGAAAACTTTTGTATTCAGAAGCAATATAATTGTAACTGATTTGTGAACCTTATTTCCTTTATAACATCAAATTTATAAAAATTTTCCATGAAGCATCTTCTAAGATAAATCATAATTAAACCCAATTCTAGTAGTTGTTGTGACAATAAGACGGTACAACCATGCGGTCACACAACACACCTCAAAGGTACCAACCATTAACAACAACAAATGTGTAGCCACTTCTGGTACTCACTAACCTTATTTCATGAGGAAGGTTGTTTTCGCACTTGCAAAATTCACTTTCGCGAAACAGTCACCCGTTGCCTGGCAACCTGCTGCTCCCTTTGCTTCTTTTTTTCATCACTGGAATCTCCAGTGTCAAAACCAGAATCATCCTGGTCGCAGGTCGCACCAGACGCAAAGTGAGCAATGCGGTTGGGCTTGGCAAAGTCATCCAGGGAAGAAATCTTGTTGGGTGAAGAGGAAGACGAAGATTGTGAGGAGTAGGAAGACACTGTGGGGGCAGAGGCATCGTGTTCCGACAGCGTCTGGGTGATACACGCAATGAGATGGTCAAAGAAATCTGGGTAGCCATCGTATCCTGTGAATTAAAAAAGCATACTTCAAATGCAAAATCTCAAACACTAAGTGAAAAATGTCCCATTCTGAAGGAAGCAGGTGAGGTTTATGAAACATTTTTAAGTGCAATATTCAATTTCCTTAATTTGTTAATTCCTGAAATAAAATACCAAACAAAAACATATGTTATATGATTATGTATTAATAAGATAATCAGAATTAAGATACTGACAAGGAAAACAAAATTGTGAAGATCAAGAAAAGAAGGAAAAAGTAATCATCATCATCATCATCATCATCATCATCATCATCATCATAATAATAATAATAATAATAATAATAATAAAGTAGTAAATAATAAGGCAGAAGAAAGACAGTGGGAATGAACAACTTTGAAAGAAATTTGTCAAGAAAGATTTCAGGAGGGAAGACAGCAAAGAAACCTTCAGAGGAAACACTCAAATAAACTAATGTGCTAAACAGCACATACTTTCTCACATTATTTCTGAATTCGCAATTTTTAAAAATTCAGAGAGTTTGAAGAAAATGAGCCCCGCAGTCTTCTTTTAAGCATTTCTTGTTATATCCATGAAAAAAGTATGAACGAAACATTTGGCACAGTTTTGAGAATATGTGTCATTTAAAAATTGTATTAATTTCTTTTGAGGAAAAAATATTCTTTCTTCAATGTCAATGTAGTAGGAAGCCACAGAAAAAAATTTGAACTTTCACAATTTTCAAAAAAAATCACAGATTTTGATGAAAACAAGACCCGTCACATTCTTTACGCTATTCGAAAACAAACTTTAACCCAATCCAGCATCCATGTTTGAGACGTTGTTAAGGCTTCACATAAAGTTCTCCCAAAACTCGACAATATCCATTTCAAACTCAGAGAGCCTCCAGTTCCTTTAGACAGATCTAAGTAATCTAAACAGACTAACAGAAAGACGGTTTGCCTCCAATCAAATTGTCAGTGTTAAGGGCACTCAAAACATGAATTCTGACTATGCAACGTGTTAGAGAAAATCATTTTCTATACGTAGGAACAAGATTTATCCACTTTTCATTACCAGGGTCCGGCAATAAGAGTTTCTCTATTGAAAATTCCCCATTTTCTGACACACAATTATAATACAATACAATTACAATTTTCTTCTTATGCAGTATAAGCAAGAAAGTAAAAGCTTCAAAAACCAAAAATTTCAAACTTCAAACAACATATATATTGTTAACATGTTGGAAGCAGCATATGTTATAGTCTCTTGAAAAACTTTTTTCCTATACTAGAATAACAATAAAACCAGTAATATGAAACTGGCATTCCAGTGAACCACAGGGTTGAATGTAAGAAGCACATGGCATGGAGGCAGTTAAGTAATGCAATGGCACAGAGGCAGTTCAGTATTGTAATGGCACCCGACATGGGGGAAGTAAAGAATCGCACTGGCACGTGGAGATCCCCATCCCATGGACACAGACAGTGAAATACTTTGGACTGACTTTCGATCGACTATTATACTGGACAGGCCATGTAAAAATATTACCAAAAAAGCTCATCGACAAATCAGTGCATTGACTCCCCTAACCTCCCATCCAAAACTAGACAACAAGACAAAGAAATACATGTACAATACGTATGTTAAACAGACTTTATGGAAGCAAGACCTGGGCTAATACTATGCCTAAGAACTACAAAAGTCTTAAAAAAGTTGACAACTGCTTCATCCGACTTGCCTTTCGACCTCCGCCCCTTTACCAGGTACACCACGATCAAGACGAAAATAATACAGACACAAATTCAAACTGAAATATACAACAATGCAAAGACGTGTGTGACAAAAGCATTTAACAACCCAAAATTTACCCCCCTTTCCTTGATCCTCACACCCATATTCTCAACAAACCACCCATCCATAAAAAACGTCACCAACCACTTGACACATTCCAGCTCCCACCATCTCGGGCTAAATAACATCACCCACCCACTTCCAAAACCCTTACTGCTTAAAAGTTTCTTGTAATACTGACCAAACTAAGAGAAAAACATGCTGTTAAATGAAAAAATGAACAACAAATAAGAAAATTAGCCCACCTTGCAGTAATAAACAAATACCATATGTTTCATGACATACGTATCACATAAAAAAAAACACTCTCAGTAAACCCCACCTGTCCTTGTCACCTCCTTTCCTACCATCTATATGGGGGATGGGAGGAGTTTTTGTTTTATTTTTTTAGATCTCCAACTTGTCCATACTCACCAACGCGGAAAATGCAATTTATGTAAATGCCGCTTAAACAATAAAAACCGGAAACCTCAATGGCACGTGGCATGGAAACAGTAAAGTATAGAAATGGCACATGGCAGTGAATGGCAATGGTATCTCGCATAGGATCAGAAAAATGTCGGAATGGCACATGGCATGGAGGCAGTAAACATCGGCAATGGCACATGGCTTGGGAGCAGTAAGGTATGGCAATGGTATGTGGCATAGGAGCAGTACAGAATGGCAATGGCACATGGCATGGGAGCAGTAAAAATGGCAATGGTTTGTGGCATGGGGGAAGTACATTACGGGAATAAGATATGGACTGGAGGCAGTAAAGTACGATAATGGCACGTGGCTTAGGAGCAGTAAGGGTTTGTGGCATGGAGGATAACACACTGGCATGTGGCAGCATGGAGGTAGTAAAGAAGCATAGCAATGGCACATGGAACGGAAGCAGGAAAGTATATGGCATTGGAGTGGTAAAGTACAGAAATGGCATGTGGCAAGGGGGCAGTAAAGTTTGGCAATACTTATTCCTCCGAGGCAGATTGTTAAGAACAAAGAATATTTTATAAACCATTCTTTATTCACGTATGGTTTATAAATATCGTCTTACCTGGGTAAGCGTTTATGTCGATGATAGCCAGCTTCCCTGTCGAGTTTTCCACAACCACATCCACTCCCAGGAGTGACATTCCCAACGCTTGGCGCACAGTCGAGGCTATCAGTGTGAGCCTGTCAGGGTCTGGCTTGGGTGTTGGAAAAGCCGCATCCTCTGGGTCCAGAATGCTCAGGGATGACTTGGAGTCTGGCTTCGAAACTTGATGCGCGTCAAAGGAGATAGTGGGGTGATCTGCAAGTCGACAGAACAAGTAAAAGAGAACCTGGTCATCTCCTGTCAGCTGCTATTTACTGAAGTTTTTTGGTACATGCGTTACAATTCAACTACTTTATGAATTTTAATGCGAATTATGAATTTAAACATTCAGAAATTTTAACTCTTGAAAATATGATTTTTGAGATAACACTTTATAATTAAGAAAATTCACTGCTGTATTATAACTACTTCTCTATTCCCATTGTAGGGCTCCAGAATTATGTTCAATTCATACATGGACCATTTCTCAAAAAAGGGAAGAAAACTACTTTAAAGAATTTGGGACAAATTTTTAAATTGTTAACCATTTTGCTTTAAAAAAAATTGCAGGACATACCAAAACAAATTAAATTAAAGAAAGTTTTATTACACCATAAAAAAAGTGTAAGAAATATATATGTTACCAATCCTTAATCAGAAGAAAATGAAACAAAGAATGAACATTCTTATAAAAACTAATGAACATTCATATAAATACTACAAAGTGCTTTGTATATTTAACTTATTTATTCCTAAAATAAATGAAAAAATTAAAAACATTTTTTTAAGAGAGATAAATTCAATGCAAACTACAATTTGCATACAATTTTCAGGAATAATGTTTCAAAATATGTCAAATGCAGACAACCTGTTATCTGCAGGCTGCCATTTTTTCACGCTTGCTTCAAGCAATCACATAATTTGCATGTTGCCAACATTGCCTCCTGCATTTTACCAACATAACTGGCTAGTTCACTTGCATTTATGTACACACCACATGCCATGAAAGCAAGTCAGATTGAAAATCCAGGACAGAGATACCCATACAGGGTTTGTTCAGCAAATGCTTCTGATGGATAGCGCACAATGTACGAAGAAGAAAAAAATGAATAATATATTTTCACATGAAAATTCTCTTATGTACATATGAATCAAGAAAACATTAATACAGGATTTTAGATACAAGTATAGATAGGGAATGTCTGATTTTCCAGATATTTTGATGTACAGAAGTTCTAAAGAAATCATACAGAGATTTAAAATTCAGAATCAAATTTGACAGGCTGAATACTTTCTTGAGGTTCAACTAACTACAAATGTAAATATTAATTTAGCACAGAAAAGCATTTGAACAATTTTTGTTGATATGAAAAAAATATTGGGAGGAAAACATCCATAAGCTTCATACAGTACTACTTAAAAACACACCTTCAAGTTGGCACAGTGTATAAATATTTGCGAATTAAAAAACGGTATTTTCTCCAAAGATACTGTAAGGGTTGAGAAATACCATCAGAAATACTGCAATGACAAGAAACATGTTTTCTCTGATCTACGAAAAGTGGGGGGTGTGATTATTGAAAGTCAAAGAAGTTGCATTTCACTAACCACTGGGATAAAAGTTCTTCAGGGAAGGCCTCTCGACAACATAGTGCTGTTCCCCAACAATATAGATCTTGTAGAGGACGGCATTGTGGTTAATGAAGCTCTGGGCAACACAGGGTGGGCGACAGTCCCTCACTCCAGCTTCGTTGAACATGACACACATCTACGGAGGGAAAACTCATGTTAATACAGTTTCATCTCTTTCTTTCTGAAAGCATGACAGCTTGGAATAAGCCTGAACTTGTTATCAATCAATCAATGATGTCACATTTTACATGAAGGGGCTCAGGCCATCATGCCTACTCTTCCACCTGAACTAATAACCTTCCACCATTTAGCAGAGAAAGGAAGTATCACTTGGCAATAACGTTCTCTGAAACCCACTGCTTGGTATGACCATTTTGATCAATTATGAAATTGATATAACTAACGATATACAAGTGGATTCATTGAAACAAAAGAACATTAATTAAATTCTGCCTATGTAAAAAAAAAATTAATTTTCTCACATCAATATTAGAATTTAAGACACACCTATTACATTTTTATGTCAAATAAAGTGCAGTGTCTTCACAATATTATAAAGTGAATTATAATAACACTTAAAATATAAAAAATAATTCAAAAATTTAATCAGAATATTTAGATTTTGTCTGAATAACCCAATTTTTTTTATTCACAGCCAAAGATGCAGTAATAACTCAAATTATAATTAACACTCGTAATAAAGTACAACATATATTGATCAAAAAGCATGTCATAAACAATATTATTGGTTTCCAGATTTCTAAAAAAAATTAAAATCTATAAAAATCATTGTCAGCCTCAGATCACACGTGATGAGCGGTATGTAATAAAGTTTCCAAAACTGCAATACTATTATTTATATTTTACGAGAACTGAGCACAGTTGTGCAATAATGGTTTTACAATAAGTGTTTAATGGTCTGTTTGTTATCTGAAGCAAGTTGTTTTCCCACCCTCAGTAAATAACAGACAAATTTTTCCTCCTCCTAACACAGAACAATTGGCAAACATGAGGTGCTTCCAAACAACTGTGACACACATCAAGTGTGGTTTTCCATATACAATGTAGCTGTAGCTACAGTTATTTGTGTGGTGTTTTTATATATATATATAATCTCTGTGTGTGTGTGTGTGTGCGTGTGCGTGTGTGTGTGTGTGTATATACACACACACACATAATTGATTTTTATTTTTCCTTCCATGTTTTAATTTGTAAGCAGTTTGTAGTAATTTGTAAGAAAAATAACAAGTTTAGTGTTCAATTAACATTTCAATCTAATACATTCATATCTGTGATGATGCAAATAAATTTTCTGAAACATTGGCAAACACATAACTGGTTGTACTTTCCACTGATCAAGCCTCACAAACTAGCCTATATCTACGTACATATGTCATAATAGAATCTTATTTTGAAGAAATAAATAAATGAGGAAAGGATGTAATAAAAATATGACGAACAGGAGAAAACAACCTCAAAGAGAATAGGTGAAGTGTTTTTTGCTCTTGTCCCTGTGGAAGATGAATGGAAGATAACTGATTGGGTGGTTTCCACGCACTCGCACGTGATAAGCAGTGATTTGCCCATCCTGATTTAGCATTTACTCATGCAAGAGAAAGATAATATCACATAATAAATATGACATTTTAAATAATTGTTATTATAATGATTATTAGCACCACTTGGAACTGATCAGAGTAAGAGAAAAAAGGAGACAAGACAGGTGGCATGCATGTCATAGTCCATAGACCCATTGACAGTACATTACACTCCCTGTCTTCAGGGAGTAATGTAGGAGCAATAGCGTGATTAGGCATGCCAAATCATGCTAGTATTCCTAACCTGGGTGAAAAGGGACAGGAAGGGAAGATTCTATTATTAGATGATATATAGTGGTTTGGCAAAGCCCCAAACATGTCGCTAAACAAGCACGCTACATCAATGCCTATGAATGATTCAACCCCCGAGACCAAAATCTGAACCAAACTCACCACTGCATTCATGCCATAGCGACTTCACCAAGAAAGCCAGTGGTTTTAAAAGACTTTTACAGTTCTTTTGATCATAAAATGATTTCAAAAGGAGAGAAAAGTATTATTAGAAAAAATAATGGAAAGTCATAGAAATAGTGACTTTTAAAGCACAACCCCTAAAAAATCCAACAAATTCTCACTAAGGGTCAGTACTAATAAAAGAAGTAGATAATCTTTGTTATAAAGTAGATTACTGATGTTCTGAACTTTATTATATAGGCAAACGTAATTTCCCACCATTTATATTTTCCTGTAAAGTTAGTTATTTTGTTCTGTTTTTTTATTCATTGAAAAGTGTAGAAAAGGCTGTGAAGAAGTGTTTTACTGCAATAATACCTCACATTTTCATTAGTTTGTGAATAAAGCAACTCTAAACAATAATTCAATTACCTGATGAGCTTGGCTCGAACCATGGGCAAAAGATGGTTTACATACTGTAACAGAAGAAAATACAACTTTACAAACAAACTGGATTTTATTGTGGGTTACATAAAATTCACTGAAGATTAAAATTAAGTTAATTTATTCTCTCTCTACATGTAATACTCTAAGGGTAGATGGGTTTTTGATAATTTTCCACCTCAATCTTCCACATTGAAGATAAAAATACAATATTTTGCTGATTATGTCATACAAAACAGATTAATACAACACACACTATATTAACCCATAACTTGTGAACAAAACCTCTTAGACCCTTAAAAGTAAGAGGAAGCCAGGAGGGAAACAAACAGGAAAATAAAAGGCGGCAGAAGGGGTCAAAGACAGGTGGGACATGAATTATGTTTCATAAGCAGTAAAGAAATTAGACCTTTTTGAACTTTCTATTACACTTTTGGAGATTTAGTTCTTCTGGGTGCTCCCAGCCCATAGCAGGGTGGTCTGCACAGTGCAGAATCTCAAAATCTAAGTAAAATTATATTAAAGCAAAAATAGAAAGAAGAAATACAGAAATAAGCTTTCACAGCAAATTTGAACTATTTGATTTTCTGTGCAATTTAACCTCAATGCTTGGCAGTATAAGAAAGGTTACTGGGCCTATAATGCTGTAATGCAAAGAAGTAAGTAAGTAACACAAAAAAATCGAAGCAAATTCCAACTAGGCAATCAGAGGAATATCACGTTTACATTTTTCCCCTTCAAGTGTTAGAAACAAGGACACCCGAATTCAAATGTCAGTGGGAAATTCATTGTTGTTCTTTCCATTTTGATTGACATAAGATATCCAAGGAGTGCTAGTTATTTTCCTAAGAATGTGCAAAGTACTCAAAATGATTTATGTGAAAGTTAATACTAGTTTTAAAGTAAGGTTGGAGCAATTAAAATGGATACAGAAAATAATTATCTAATGAAGAGATGGACTAAACAGTAAATTGAAAGCAAGGAAGTAACACACTAATATTGCAGACACAGAAAAAATGGATTACAGATAATCTGGTAAAAATTAATTGTTTAAAATTTATGAAAAAGAAAGACTATAAAAATTAAGAAACTTACCAAAAGGAAAACTTATTCCAGCTTGCTTCAACTTTCTGAGATTCTCTACGTAATCATTAGAGACCAATTCCACAAAAGTTGGAGTAAACACATCTGGAAGAAAAAGGCATTTGTTAAAAACGAGCAACAAATTCAAATCAACTTGCAAGAATAAAATTTAAATATGACGTTCTTAAAATGTATATACTTTATATAAGAATTAAGCCTGTTTTCATTTCCTTATATAATTGCACACAAATTAATTAACAAAAGTTCACTAAAAGCAAAATCGTTTTGCAACTTTGCTGCATGTTATGTATTGGTTACTTTGTTACCCAAACATAATAATATTAATACAAATGAATTATCAGCACAACCTGGAAGTTTGGCAAAATGCCTTTTTATTATTGTTACTATTTTATGATTTTTAACATTAGGAATTGCTTAATTGTACTGAAATTGATTTAGTAGATTTTCGTTTTGCCTTTTTTTGCCTATTTAGCTTCCGATGTCTATTTTTGCCATTTTGTCTTATTTTTGCCTTTTTCAGCCTTTTCTCCCTATCTCAATATTTTGCTTGTTTCCCTCCTGGTACCAATCGCCATCAACTTGGTTATATATCTGCAAGCCTGAATAACAGGATGGCACAGGGGTGTTTTCTTCAGTGGAAGCAGAGACTTGTAAAAAGCCTACATGAAAAATGAAGACGATACCAGTCAACATTTTTGATTTTTTGATGCCGAGAGGATCTATTTGCTCATGAGGAATCCCATCCTACTTTTGAGTATGGCCTTCAATCCCTTTTGATCATTATACCCTTATAATGCTGGCGATTACAGAAGTGAGAACAACGAAAAAATCTAATTTCTTTTTAACTTTTGCCATTTCAAGATTCAAAAGGAGGTCCACAATAGCAACTGGAAGAGACAGTGTTGCGAGTAAAACAAATTCGTAGTTTCTTTCCACAACACTGACATCTGGACATCTCTACCTTTTCTATCAGCCTTCTACCTTCATTTTCATTTCTACATTTTTTCCCTACCATCATTTTCCTTCAGTTACCATAGGAGTGCCCTGTCCACCTGCTCTACTTACAAGCAACCTTACCTGCCTTCTCTAAGCCTGAATTGTGAATGACGCTATACGAAATGCTTCGGTCTAGAAGCTTCCGCACATTGTCCAAAGGATCCAGCACAGCCACTTCGGGATGGCCGCGGAAGTACTCCTCCACTCTTCGGATCATTTCCTGAGCCTGTCAACACATGTCCCACAATTCATTTAGCGCCACTGTGGATGTTCTTGGTCAACAAATACTTTACGCCTGAATGTGTTGAAGAATTTCATTCCATTGGCCTTCACGAAATCAATCAACCTTATTAATACGAATCGCAGCTGACTCCCTTAAGAATGAGATTGTTTTTGCAATAGATATTCCATTCAATGCAATACATATTTTTATTCATTTGCTTAAAATAACATTTTTGCTCCGTTATCTTAAGTCAAACTTTATAAAACTGAGATCCATTTTATCATTTTCAGAGTTCTTAGACCTACTATTAACAATAATAATTGGTTTTGTGACGTAAGTTGTATTAGAATTAGTTCATGACCTCCCATTAACTACAATTTACATCAAAACGTCATCTTTCATAGGATAAATAGTCCAATTTAAACAAAATTGAAATTTTTACAAAATGGATAAAATCATGTATAATATTCATATCATATGATCTTATTCTGATACTGGACTGGTTATCAAACTTGGCCTAATAGCCATATTTGTTACTTCCCCAATCTCATATCGTAATAAAATGTCTTGTACTAATTTTGTAAATAATTATTATTAGCAAATTATCTTTTTCCAATATCTCTCTTCAGAATAAGATTTTATTATACACAAATGAGTAAACCTTTTCTGTGAAAACTACAATTACCACTACCTACTTCTTTAAAAAATTATATGTGAAGGGAACAAAAAAGGTTATTAACGATATGAACTTGACATAAACATTACAATGTAATGCATTGTTTTTCAACTATGAGTCACAAGACACATTGTTACCAGAAAGTTTTTATTCAATATTTATTAGAATGGTGAACATTTAATATCTAAAGAAATGAGGAAAGAACAAAAAACACAGTAAATAAAAGTTTAAAAATATTGTAAGGTCAGCCAGAAATGTGTTAAACAGTTTTGTGTGAGAGTTTCCCTTCTTTCCTGTTAAGATGTTAGCCAATATTGCTAGCCAAATTCCTGAACTATGCTCCATAAAGTGACTGACATTAAGCACTTTACGACATCATGTTTTTCTGGTTGGGTGATCATCTGGGAACCCCAGGATCCAACAGCAGTGCTGAACCCCTGGCCAAAGGGATAAAAGGCAGGGACTGACTACATCTGATTAGATTAAAGGAGGTTTACTTCAAATATTTGAAACCAGTATGCTATGTAATAGAACATTGTTACAAATTGTAACAGAACTTAAATACATTTTTTTAAAGGTTATAAAAAAACACACCACACACCTAACTCGATTGTCTATGCTTAAGACAGAATTTGGGCAAATGTAGCGAACTAACCTTCACATCACCCTTTTCTCCTTGAGCTATGATGTCTGTCAGTTTGTGCAGGATGAGGCAGAAAGGCCCCTGGTCTTCTAGAGGCAGGGACAGATCCAACTACAACAGCCAGAGCAATGCTGTGATGTGGTTACTTTTCTGACAGAATCGCAACAATTCAAATAATAAAAATTATATAACACATGAAATAAAAATGTTCAACTTGGGCTAATGAAATTTATATAATGAAGTATTTAAGTTTTATTATCTGAAAGGTAAGTCTGCTTTTTGGTACTGATGTTAATTTCAAATAACAGTTGTCATTGTGATTTGTGACTTCACTTTCAACAAAGCATAAGTGTGTTCATCTCCAGTTTCTGAAGGAACAAAGTCACACCAGGTAATAAAATAAATTCATACTGAAAGAATTAACGAAAAATTAGAGAAGATGCAACAAAATTAGACTTTTAATACCTAACAATACTGATAAGATAATTTTATTAATGGGAAGTTATTGATATTAATAAAGTTAAGGGTCTTATACCTTATTGAAACCCTTTTCATGAACATTTGGGTGCCTTGCAAGTTTGTGGTGTTCCATTCATGGGTTTCTATTGTTATGCAGCATGTTCTCACTAAGTGATTAGATTCATTCACATGTCAGAGTCAAAGTTTATTATAAAATACTTTAAAAATCCAATTCAATAAAAGGGAAAGTGGCGAAGAACACAATAGATTTTAAAGCGATTACTTTTTCAAATTATGTTTCACCTTTGATTAATCTCTTTGTTAAGTTCATCTCTTTTTATTCAAGTACTTTTTGGGCCAATTCAACAAATATAAAAATAGTTAATATTTTTGTTTGTTTGGTCCATATAAATTTTATACAGGCCAACAGAAACACACTTTTTTATTTATCTCTTTTTTTCTTACCTTGACTAACTCGTACCCATGTTTCCTGCAAAAAACACAAACACAAAATTAAAAATTTCCTTCTAACTTTATCAGCAAGTGTTTTATGCTGAAAGGTGGAAGAAAAATTCTTCCATATTTAATAATTCTGCATTGGTTCTATGTCTGTAAGTAATGACAGAAGTTCAGAGTGATTTATATAAAACTCATGGTTGCAATTTTCAATAATGGCAAACACATGCAATGAAATAACAGCACAGAAAGAATTTTCAGACTATGAAAAAAATTGGTGTAATAAATATTCATTAATTCATGAATCCTCTATAGGGAAGAGAATCCTTGTTTGGACCAGCATTGAGGAAGTACCTATTTTATCTTTTTAAAACAATAGAAACAATTCCCAACAAATAAAAGAATGTAACAGCAAAATAAAATTAAAAATTGGAAATTTACTGCATATTAAAAACCCCAACTAAAAATCCCTGACACTAGCTAGTTTCCCAGTGGGGTACTGTAAATCTAAAATGCACCCAAACAAACTAATTTCTTCTTCATAAAAGAAGAGCAGAAATTACAAGAAATTAGTCATGAGCACAACGATTTACACCTTAGAAGTCAGATTTACCCTATAGGTCTTGTGAGGTCTCTCAGAAGACCTCTGAAGAATTAGGAAAGATATAATATGTCAGTGCCTTCTTGATGACCTACATTTTGAAGTCAAAGAAATATCCCGTCAATAGAAATGCTGGACAGGTCTTAATTCAAAGAGTAATGAAAAAATTGGAAATATCCCAAATTCTGTGAAATGTTTGGTAACATCTACGAAATTCCTCTCTCAAAAATCACCAAAATCAACAGGGACCTCACGAATAGTTCACAAACGTTTCCCAGCTTTAATAATGCTTCAAGAAAGAAAACGAAAGAGTCATTATTTTAATTTTACATTTGTAGTATTCTTCTAACATTAGTATTCTTTCAATAAACATTAAATTATTCTGCTAGTGAAACACACATTTAAAAACCTAAGTCACATTAGAATTTCTGTGCAACAAATATTAAAACCTATTGCTATTCATTAAATTGTTTCCGAATTCTCTTTATTTGCTGAATGTTTCTTACAAATAATTATATTAAAAAAAACTATTCTTTTGGAATAATCATTTCATGTCCCCTTTCAAACCTTTTATTTCTTCAGTAGCTTTTTTTCAGTAATAACACTACTTTTTTTCTACACATTTTTCTTCTCAAATTCAACTTTATCTTTCTCTCTTTCTCATCCTATTCTGCAATGCTCTGACTTGTTTCAAGTTACTTCTCAGCAGTCAAGTCAAGAGCAGCTCTCTGTGCAGTACTGTCTGAAAACCAGTTGGGGTATGCCAAGGTCAAAGTCCCACCTCAGAAATGCGGTTAGACGAGCAGGCGGGTGGGTCAACCTGAACACACTCCCGTAGTAAGGTAGACTGGTAACCCAACCCACATACTCAACCTTCTCACAACTTTCTCGTTGCTCAATACACACAGCTCAAGAGTCACTTGAGAGGACAAGATCTAGGGGCTTCAATCCAGCTCTCTTAAATAATAGAGCAATGCAATGGTTAAATTAAGCTTTTTTCTTGTAAAGATGTTAAAAATAAAATTAGAAAGATAACTTGAAAATATTGTAAACCATTTTAAAAAGAACATGCCATCTTTTACCAACATAGATGCTCCTATTCAAATAATAATAATTAATTATGCTCTCTCACATTAAACGTGACAAAATATGTCTTAAGCTCTTTAAAAATATGTACTAGTGCATTCTTTATTTCCTTCTCTCCTTTGTATTTTTGTTTTTAACCAAATGTACTACAATTACGAAAACATTAAACTCGTACTTCTAAGTAATCATCATCATCATGGTCATTGTCAAAATAAAAGCTTTCCCTTCATTCTTATTAAGATGAAGCTCTGTATTAAGAAATCAACAAAAGTCACAAAACATTCTTCACATGTATATAACAACTGAAAACATTTTAGGATTTTCAAACTGATCATAAATAGTTAGAAATTGTTAGAGAGAAAATCTGTTTTGCTATTCAAAATTTTGGTTCAAATTCAAGAGTCAGAATCAACTGATTATTAAGAACCCATGAGAATTCTGGACTGTTTGACACTATTATACAAATAACAAATTAAAACCAAAGGTTTAGTAAACCAATAACAAATTGAAAATCAAAGATATAGAAGAAGAAATAGAACAGTCTCAAAGGAGATGGAAAGACAATTTACAGAAAATGAACAACAACAGATTGCCAAAATTAATCTGGAAGTCATTCCTTTTCATTCATCATTCCTTTTATACTATTTATACAACCAATGCACTTTGCACCCTGGATTCTTAAGCAGACATGACTTAAATGTTTAACTCAATAGCTCAGTCAATTAAAGCAACTGCCTAGATAACAGAAGGTCCCTAACTTGATTCCTAGTAGAATCAAACATTGCATTTCATGATTCACTATTTTCTGAAATTACAAATGTAAATCTATTATATTAAATACCATTTTAATTTTTCACTACCAGTCATAACTAATTGATTTATATGTGTAACATATAACTGAAATAACTTCATACAAATTTTTTAAGTACCATGATTTTTTATACTGATCATCTCAACACTAACATATTCACGATGAATGTTATACTGATTTGTGCTAGAAAGTAAATACCAACAACTGAATCAGTCCATTCCAAACCAATTTAGAGCTGAAAGAAGCAGTTAATAATTATTTTCCAAGCTTATGTTTACTCAATACAATGGAATAACAATTCACTGCCCCTTATAAATGTACGAGTTTCTTCAGAAGTCCAGATAATAAACAAACTATTATAATAATAGTAATAGTGATGATAATAATAAAATAATAATGATTATGATGATGGTAGTAAGTACCTAAAAAAAGGAAGAAATCATTTAAAAAGATTTTTAAGAGTTTGAGATTTTTAATACCGGTTCCTGAAAAAACGAAATTGAAAAACACAAGTTAGATTGTGAAATTATAAATAAGAGTAGTCCTACATGGGAATAATTCATTGTGCATCACACATGATCCCTTGGGCAGTGAATGTGATAAGTACTTTTATAAGGTAAAACACGGTTATTGTAATTTTGATCATTTTTCCAATCTTGCTTCCATCACATGACCCCAGAAACATTAACTGAACGGGCATATTATTAGATTTACTTATTGATTGATTCCTTTATTTATTGTGAAACAAACAAACAAATACTGTTTGTAAAGTTTTTAATAATCTTCCCAATTTTTCAAATCCTTGCATTTTCCAGTAAGGAAGAGAGAAAGATGATATGCAACAACTTCGAACACAAGCAAGCTCATTATTTGGGCAAAGTTCTAAATACAAAATCGTGAAAAACCAAAATTCTATTTTTCAAAGACATACAGGTCTGAACTGCTTGTTGGATACTTCATTTCAGAGAATTCAATTTGTCTGAATATGAATGGATATTCCTACATTTATACAAATAAATTAATTGTTTTAGAACACTCCAGTTCTCATTTTCCATTAGTCATCTATCCATTCGATTTCTCTAGACCAGGGTGGTCCAACTGGCAGCCCGCGGTGCCATTTATTGTGTCCCGCAAAAGGTTATTAGTCAAAGCCCTTTTCATCCATGTCGGACGACAACATTATGCACCTAGTGCAAGCACCGCTACGTCAAACCCTTGTAATGTCAAAATAGTTTAACTTTAGAACTAAGTACTTATTCTAGTAAATTCAGAAATTCAAAATCATACCAATGTGTTACCCTGCGTTATGCATGGTATGGCCTGATATCATACATGGTTCCATCCCCCCTCCCTCCAATTAATGAAAATGTGGCCATTTGAACCAACAACCATTTGAAAGGCTTTAGTTGTGACCCTTGAGGCTTCATAAGGTGGGCATCCCTGCTCTCAATCATTACACTAAGCTTCGTTTAAGTATATAATAACTGAAAGAATGAACAGAAGGTTGAAAGAAAGAAATTGTTGATGTACCAACAAATAAAGTCAACAAGGAGAACTGAATGAATTTTACTGATAATCATCATACATAAGTAAGTAAACCTGAAAATTCTGCATTTATAAAATAAAAACACTAATGGTATTTTGCTACTAATAATGTAAATATATTTTTTATACACTACATTAAGAAAGGTTTAAAAGTGAAAATAATATAATATTTACTTCAGAAAACAAAAGAAATTATACATTTTGCCTCTCATTTTATATAATTCAAATTTCCAATGATCCAAGAATGCAACATTCAATTTCAATTCTCAAAACGCTATAGTAATCTGATCTAAAGGTGAGTGCCTGAAGAAGAAAAAAATAGTCAGAGATCTTACTGTCAGAAAGTTCAGAAAGTGTAGACTTACATGAACATTACACTAATAAATTCAAATTTCTCCTAAGCTGACAATATATCCAAAGCCATGATACAGAATTGAAAAAATTTAAACAATACCAAGCAAATAATTTAGACTGTATTCATTACATGGAGAAAACTACCTACAATTATTAAATTTTCAGCCCTTTACATGTAATACACTATTTAGAATATGACATTTGATTTGATAAGAATGCCACTAATAATTTATAACTGTACTTGTCTTACCTGCACACTTTACCAAACTCCATCCAATTGAGTTTCTGCCTTTTCTTCTCTGACATCCAATATCCAATCACACTTTTCCCTTGCGTTTTCTCACACATATTTGATGTAAATGAATTTTTTAATACAAGGTAAACAACAGTATCATTTCCTAACAGTTTTTACCCTACAATCACCATAGGGGATGCAGATACACAACGCCATCCACTGTCAACCTACAAACAAGATAAATATCTTAAATCTCATGAAGCTTATTCTAAAACTTATGAAAAGAACTTGAGTTCAGAGTTGGGTTGACAGTTCTGAACTAGTGCGTTACCTAAATTACTTTACATTCAACTACCCATTTCCTACAGTAATGACATGTGAGACACACAAACAGGAAAAATAAAAATTGAATAAAATTATAAAAATATTCGAGGAGGCCACTACATTTCCATGTTAGAAGAAAAGAAGTTCATTAAAAATCATGATGTTGCACATACACTGGCAACATCTACGTCCTCTTACAAGTTATGTAGACTACAGGTAACGCCCCTGAATATACCGTGTTGCACAAACGAGTCGTCACAAGACACTTTCAACAGGTGATTCTATGACACCGAGTGCAGACGTACCAGCCTTTTTTCCTCCTACTTCCCCCTCCACAACATACAGTAAGATAATTTCGCAAACAACTGTCTTTCCCCGAACGAGAAATTAACCACAAGGAACTCTGACGACGTCACAGCCTACACCTGCCGTTGTATATTAGAAAATCCGGAAAAGACACAAGACAGGAGCCAACCGCACGTTGAAATATTTCTTTAAATTATTTTGGAATGGATGGGAGAAATGCCGTAGTAATCAATCAGAATTTCGCAATGCTGAAATAATTCTTCTAGATACAACGTATTGTACACAACAATACTTCCATACCTCCAAAAAGATCTGATTACAAAATTCAACGCAGTTTGGAAGTGCTGCTTCAGTACACTTTTCGCTGTTTTATTTGCTTGCACGCACTGACAACAACACACGCATTCATGAAATTAACATTTGCAGTCATAATCGTTAAATAATACGAAACAAATCCGAACACGGCATCAAAACACAGAAAATTGCAGTAACTTGTGTTTCAAACCGTCTGACAGTCAACACTAGACCCTCCCACTCAAATTGACCTTACAATAATGAAACCCAACAAGACATGACCAATTTCAGAAGGCCAACTGCTGTAAAGAAATTACTTACTACAGGACAAACTATTATTTTGCTGACTAATGTAATTCTTTCATTATTATGAGATCACTGCATCTCTTATTAAAGTAATTATCATGTGAAAATTGTGTATTTTTTCATCCGAATGAAATTTATAGAACACCAAAGCTGAATTGAGTTCACATATTTCTCGAGATACTACAAAGTTGGCAGTACCGACGGTCAGTAGTAAACACGACGTATGTCAACTTGTCAGAGGTATATTGTCGGTGTCTTTAACGTGATATTTTGAAATACCAAAAGTTCTCTATTTTAAGATCGTACTTACATATTTGCCTTCCCAAACTAAAGTAACGCAAAAGCCATCGAGCAAAGTTGTGTAAATAGGTCACGATTACGTAGCGGGTTCTTTGAAAAGGCCTGTGTTGCAATAAATTGAGACCAATTTGTTTCAACAAGTCAGCAAGTGGTGTGACGAAAGTTAAGAATAAAAATATATAGGTCATTCTCTCTGCTTGTAATTTCGTTTTGTGTACTGTTAAAATTACATCCCAACAATATTTTTTCTCAATGGTTTAGATTTGTCATGACAATTTCTCCTAACTTGTTGCGCAAAAACAGTTTTTTTCATTAAATACAATGTGTCTTGTGGTTAGTTGTATTAAATTTATTTTGATTTATGAGCAAAAGTATTGGCAAAATTACAATAATGTTTGTGTGAAGACTATTCTCGACGTGCAAATTTCAAGAGCTGCACGCCTCGCTCGAGTTCAGAAAGAGCGCCTGATTTCTCTGGCAGGTGATGTCACCCCTCTCGCTTCAGTTGTACTTCTCCCCCAGATTTGTACGTGCAGATTGTACTTCTCCTCCATTACTAGTTACATTTACTGTTCTTTGTCAAAATAAATCAAATCAAGTGCATATAAACGAGTGTGCACGGCCTGAAACAAACGACGGGGAAGCACATTTTTGGGTTCTCCCATCACCGGCCCAGCCGAGTCAAGCTCTAAGCTCCTGACATGTGTGATAGTATAAGTGAAAGTGTGAGCAAGTAAGGAGCGAGGATAGGGCAAAAAACAGCAAGGAAAGATCGCGCACTGTCCGTGGTCCATTTATTTAGGTTTCATCATCATTCTTTCAACATTCATCCAGTATTGATAAAAAAAAACATGGAAAACTACCGATCAGAGCAGCCGGCCGGTAGAATTCTCCTCCAGATAACGGTCGAGTTCGACTTCGCTATGTTGTAGCATTTTGAGATTCCCGGACAAATAGAATCAGTGCCAATGAGGGTGTATAAATATTTCATTAGAAATCCAAAGTAATCTAATTCCCACTGTTATATCTGGTCATTAAAACAGTTTTTTTTACCAGTTTTACAAATGGAAATATAATAAGTTTAAGAAAACAATGGGCAGTTAAATGAAACACCATTTAATAATAAAAAATATAGAGTTCAATTAAACACCGTTTAATAAAAACAATGGAATGTACTACTTAATTTCCATTTTGAACAAATTTACAGTAATCAACAATTATAATAAGTTTAATTTTATATTGACCTTACCAAACTCATTTCACAAATATATACTTCTGGTTTGACTTACATGCTTTAATCAGAGAAGGTTTACTTTACAGGTAGTCATAAAACTCTGAACATTTCATTCCCTGGTAATTTATCTTGCACTGTACTTCCTTCACAGCATTGACAATTAGTTGGACTGACAGTAATAAATTTGGACTGACAGTAAGCTATTGTCAGTCCAAATTTTTTCCCATTATAGAAAACGCTCTTTCTGTAAATGCATTACTTACAGATAACACATACTTGACAATTACTAGCGTTAGGCAAAGACTACACTCCAAGTCTTGAAAATGTAAGGGTCGATTTCATTCACCATTTGATTAGAAATACCTTCCGAAAGGACATCCTTAATATGATTCTGAATAGACACCATCTTTATAAGCGTTTTTGCTCTCTTCTTACAAAAAATTTAAAGGAAAAAAATGTTGAGCCATTTTTAAGAAAATGTTGAAAATGACGGTATTAAAAAATTACTTAAATTACTAAGTGCGAGAAAGTACACGCAGTAGTAGCACCACTAGTTTTGTATCATACAGTAAACAAAGAATATTTTTTGAAGACCTAAATTAAATTATTTAGAACATAATTCAACTAAGAAAGGTTTTCAGTGTTTACCTGATTGTTATTTAGCAACTTTAGGACTGCAATCTTATCTCTAATGTGTGAAGGACTGACAAAGCAAAGTAAGAGAAATACATTTAATGTAAAAAATAATTTGTGATTGTAAGTTGCACTCTTTACCATGAAAACAACTGAACATAATTAAAGAAAATCTTGATTAAATTAATTTGTAAAATTATAATCAAAATGAACACATTTAATATTTAAAACAAATGTACTTACTCCAGTCATACCCAAGGTGCATGCAAATGAGTATTTGTTCAGCCCATTTATACTCATTGGTTCAGCCTAATTATTATTCTGATGTAAACAAATTAGCATAGCATTCATTTGCGACCACAAATCACATTTGTCGAATGCTCCAGGCTCCTCTTTAATGGTACACGTGTTCACGAACAGTCAGAAGCGTATGCAGCAAAACTAGTCCCGCCTGCGATAAGAATAAAGCTCCGATTTCCAGCAGTGATACACGCACACAACCCGTTTTACAGTCGTGACTCCTCCTCCTTGTTTGTTTGGTGAGTTTATTTTTGTGAACATCAATAATGCTAAATAAATTAACACGTTTCTATAAATTAACAATTGCTTACGGACAGATCTTTCAACACGCAATGCTCTTCGTAAAATTCTCTAACCTCAACAGAGGTAGTTCATGCAATTATTGTGTTCTGAACTAAACAGTTTTTACTCTCATCAGATTAATTGATTGATTGACTAGTGATTCCGGGCGCGTCAATTGCTGTGGTCGTTAGGTGAAGTGTAATATGTTTTTATCATGTTTATATATGTTCTTCCCCTGATGGATGGCGAGATCTGACGCCGACTATCTACATTACCCCAACCAGGTATCTCCCACCAGCCGCGACAAGCTCTAAGCTCCCGATCGGTCTCCCGGCATGTGTGGTAGTGTAGTGCATGTTAGTGTAAGAGTGTGTAAGGGGTGAAGAAATGATAAGGACGAGGAAGGAGAGATCGCGCCCGGTCCGTGGCCTGTTTGTTAGGGTACTGCTCCGGCATTCACCTGGTGATGATCGGAGAAACCACAGGAAACTACCGATCAGAGCAGCCGACCGCTAGAATTCTCCTTCAGACAGGAACTGAATTCGACCTAACTATGAAGCCAGCTCCAATCTTTCAAGGAAAATTTGCCTGTAGGACCATCTTTTTTCTCCTAAAAGGTTCTTAAAGTCATATCACAATTCATTTATTAGGGGTCCCAAACATCGCACCGTTTTATTCGCGTGTTTCATAACTGACGCTCTACTTCGTAATCGGCAGCGAGAAAGTAAAAATCGATGTATTTTTCACAATGTTTAAACTCTCATAGCTTAAGGTTACGGGTTAAATCCAGTACCATGTTAACGTATGGAATCAAAGAGCCGGGGCCCATAATTCATAAAAAAATATTTAATACTATTTTTTAAATATAAAATACAAAACCGCAAAAAAGTGATGATTAAACTACACGCAAAAATTTGGCATAACGGAGTGATGTGTGAATGACCATTGGATAATATTTATAATATTGAATTTTAATGTTGCTGGTTGATGTGAGAGTATCACTCAGTGACAAGAAGTAATTTCTTTTAAACAAGTCATGTCTTTGAAAGGGGGTGGCAGTGAAAGTAAGAATAGGGGGTCCCCAAATTAACGTAAGCCTAAGGGCCCCTAAAGCTGTTAAAATGGCCCTGGTTATATGATCAATTTCTATTAATGGAGAATATTCCAGCGTTAATGTAGAAAATAATCTGCAATTTGTCCGATTGTATTAATTGCTAAAACATTTTATGCTAAATAGTAACTTTTATATTGAAAAATTTTTATTTGTTAACTTATATTTGTCCCCTAAAATCGCCTGTGATTTATAAACGTTTATTACATCCATTACAAATCATATAATAGAAAATTTGTCTAATAGTGTATGGTGTCATACAAATCATTTAAAAAGACAAATAAGCTTAAGTATAACTAGAAATTTAATGTGTGTATGCATTACAATCTGGTCTTTGGCTCCTAGCAAAGTAGTGATGCGGTAGGTATTATATCACTAGAGGCTGCTGCCTTTCAAATCATAGCAGTTGGCTGAGTCAACTTGCAATTCTTTGTTTGTATTCGAAATATTGTCACTTTTTGTGTAGTAATGATTTCACAAGAATGGTTTATTAGGTACTTATACGAATCACTTGGGAGGTTTAAATTTGAAAAGCTGTGCGAGAGACTTAGATGCCAACCTATTGTTTCTTATTGCAACTGAGACATTACCAAAATGTGAATAGATGTTGCCAGATTCAATTTAATATACTGCAAGGCATTCCTTATAATTCATAGTATCTAAAATTTGTGTCAGTCCAATTTTCTTTGAATGCCATATTTTATGACATGCATTTTGATGAATAGGTAAATGCATTTTCCCTGAGACATTTAAAATTTAACAGAGAAATTACATCGTAGATCTCAAATACTATTTCCAGAGTGTACATTTTCTACCAAACATAATAAACAAAAGTAAGGAAGCTAATAAGGAAATGTTCATCCTACATGCAATCTAAATTGATTATTGTTGTTCTTGTTGTTTCCCCTATTCAAAGATGTACAGAATTGATTGCACAATTTCTTTTACAAATAAAATGAATAAATGTTCTTGATCCTTTAATACAACGAACAAAATATTCACTTATATCTAAGTTTATATTCCATAGAATTTGAAATTAAAATTAAACATATCACTTTAAACATTTTAATAACAACAATATTATAATTTTGAACAATTTTTTACATATTACAAATTTCATCCTTGCAAAAAACTTAATTCAGCCAATTTATTAACAGGGTAAACATAATATTTACAGCATTTTTAAACATCTATTAAGATCTTGAAAATATATTCTACAGAACAGTTAAGTTAATCTGCCACTGAAATAAAAATCTTTTAACACATTCTCAAATCTAAAATATTAATCTAATCTACACAACATAATATTTTCAAATCTGTACACATCAAGCAACTAAATCCCTAGTACCCACAAAACAGGGCACTTTTCCTTTCACACAAACAACACACTAGCTGCAACAATAAATTTTAGCATCCTGTGTTCACACACAATTCTCCTGTCACTTGTCTGTCTAGGAATGCAAATTAAGTGACAGCCACACATGCACACAACTATGAAAATATTCATTGACTTTCCATCAACAATATTGTGTTAACATCTGCATGCCATGATTGTTTAAATGACAAAAAGTGACACAAAATACAAATTAGGAGAAGTTTACATATGTGCAGAAGTGCATAATAATTGTAATTAATCCACAACAATGTTAAATAACATTTTTTTCTTCCTTTTGAAATAGGTGCTAGAACAGACACATTTTAAATTTTTTATTTCAACAACAAGACTAAAAAACAACAATTCTAATCAAATTAGTTGACTCATTTTAATTTTCTGAGAATTATTGTTCTACACATTTTAGTACATAATTTCAATAATCAATAGTTCTATTCCATTTTCTCTAGTGAAATACAGGTGGAATATAAAAAAAGTATTATGGGAACTTTTTTGGAACTAAAGTCCTCACAGATTTCACTCACAATTGACACTGAACAATTTTCCCACCGCCAAAAAATGTACTAGGAGTTCTTTTTATTCCATATAGATCATTATCTTATTACTAATCACAACAGCAGAACAATTTAACAATGATTATTTAAGTCCCTCACTCAATATACAACATTAACAAACTATTTCATAATTTTCAATATTTTTTAAGCATAAAAAATATGTATAAATGCTTTTTAAAGAAATAAATAAATATTTTCATAAGTCATTGTATACCTTCATGCAACACCATTATGATGTAGACCGTTTATAAATATCCACATACCAGTCTTCAATTTTTACCACAGCCATCCCTGTACTCATATTTTCTTTGCTTTTATCACTGTCTTAAAGTTGCTATCATTGCATCATCTTATGCACAAACATTAAGAGACACATATGCGCACACTTACACATTTATACAAATGTTGCAGCAGATTAACTACTTGGAAGTCCAAAACACAGTCAGTCTTTGTGAAGAGTCTTGCCAAAAAAAAGCAAAACTGTTGAGCTCTGCTACTTATCACATTACCGAACGATCTTTGGAAGAAGATTCTGGTACGTGACCGCACACCACAACATGATGCCTGAAAAACAATGAAAAGGGCTTGATCAATGCATTTTTCCCCCATAGTAGTGTTAGGTCATTAGGAGCCAAACTTTATTTGTACAGCAAAATAGAGCATTATGACAGTGTGTGAAATAGACTCCTGGCAATAGCGTAACGTAATTAGGGCAGGCCCGCCCGCAAAACTTTCATTTGCCCCCCCCTCTCTTTATTAGAATGTGCATTATGGAGATTTCCTTTAAACACACACGCAATTCTTCAGTCACCCATAATTCCATTCAAGCCTCGCTAACTGAAGCACTCAACAGGGTGGTTCAATAGCTACTAGTTTGTTCGGGAGACGCCGGGCCGCTTCCAAGACACTTTTCGGCCGCCATTCCGCGACCTTCCTCACGACGACATGCATTTGGCATGCCCTGAGGAAGGTCGCAGAATGGCGGCCGAAACGTTCTCACCCGAGCCTAGGACGCTGGCGGCACCCTCTCCTGAACAGGTAAGTAACGACTCCGGCCGAGGAAGCCTGCACTCACACAGTAGTGTAAATCAAGGCGGTGTTAACAATTAGGGGTGCGGCCTCGATACTTCTGTAAAAGCCTCGATACTTCTGTAAAAGCCTCGATACTTCTGTAAAAGCCTCGATACTTCTGTAAAAGCCTCGAATTATTTGCCCGATTTTGATGATGCTGCCTTCATAAATGAAAAATTAAGTCATGTTGTAACACTGAAAATAATACTACCCCTCCCATCTACATAAACTGCGCACCTAGATTTGCCTCTGCTACTTCTACATTGGTTGGCTGATTATTTTGAAACCGTGTTCGTTTTTTACGTGGGCCATTATATTTCACGAAATGATTCCACTCATCAAATTGTCTCAAAAAGAGTATGTTCATCTCAAGAATCTATTTTAGTTTTGATAGATTTTTTGGTTAATCAGATTTAAAATTATGTTTTCAATTAATGTTTTGGATTGTTAATAATTTCAAAACAATAAAAAACTACGAAAAAGAAACTAATTGCATTTTTACTTCATATACATCAATATTTATTGAAGGAAAAAAGCGGATCAGTTACGCAGGCGTAAATACAATCCCGCATTACAGCTCATCTTTACTGCGATCTTAACAACGATCGTTAACATCGTAACAACTATCGTATAAAAACCCAAAAACTCACGTGCGCTGTAAAGGCTAAAAACCTGGTTTTCTGTTACGATCGTCACCCACTGTTACCGGCGGGAGGTCAGGTATTACCCGCGTCTCTTTTCTTGATCTATGGCCTACCTTCCCCGTCCCTGGCACAATAAACAGTTGAAGGCACACGATCTCCGCGAGCACTAATGACATTCCAAACACATCTTGATTGGCGCGCAATGCAAACTATCTGCTTCTGAAAACTCCTGTTCGTGTCTCTACCTTCGTGTCTAATCCTAAGAAATGCCCGAAGCAAGTCCGGCGCCATCACAGGAGATACATCGAACTCTTAAGAAAGCTAGAACACGAATTATCGAAAAAAGTTGCGGATGCATTACTGATATTCGAGAGATTGATATTGCTTCATAAAATCTTAGTGGCCGATTTCGTAACTAATCCCCAAACTCTACCTGCACTTCTACAAACAATCTGTCAAGAAAAGTTGCGCGGATATTACTAGGAATTGCGCTGACCAGATGAATCGCGTACAAACCTCTAGTCAGGCGCGGATCCACGGGAAGGGAAACGAGGGAAATTTCCCCTCCCAAAATTTTTTTCAGAAACTATTAATTTTAACCTGTCACGAATCTTTCAAGCAAAACTATTTTCGTATAACATCCAAATGAATAAAATTGTATCGCATCATGGACCGAGTTTGGCCTGCAACGTTCTACATAATCTGTAATATGACAAGCAAACAATCATGCGACAAGCAACCATGAGTAATACTTGAGCGATTTTTCTTGAACGATAGCTTGGAGAAATGCGAGAAGAGTGGGGATATTAGTTCCGAAATCGGCCTCTAGATTTTATGAAGCAATGCCACCCTCGAGAATCAGTCATGCAGAAGGTCAGTCATCCGGAGCTGTCGGCCATTTCTTTAGATTTTTTTGGAGAAAAAAACCAACTTCTCGTCTTCATTAAATAGATATTACGCACCAATGAAATTGTGTTTGGAATGTAGTTACCAGTGTTGCTGCGAGCGTTTATCCAAAATATACTATACCGTTTCGTTCAATCGACTCGTTATTGGTTTTCAAACACGTTGCTGAAGTCACTCCCTTCAGGAAAAACACTGCACACCCATACCCTCATTAAAATGAAATTGTTAATACAAATCATGTTACCCCTTCAAAGTAAGGCCATCATGTATACTTTTCTTATTATATTCTTAGTGTCGAAAATAATCGTTGCAAGTTGTTTCCACTATTCACTGTTGTAATTACCGAAGGAATTACTCCACAACAAAGCGAGCCGCATTGTTTTACGCCAACTGCCAGAGCTCATTTAAAATAACCGATAGTTGACAATGTTGGTTTCATGGAAGAAATGCTATCACGTATTATTACAATTATTTTTCTCTCCATTCGTAAAAATTACTGAGGCACATACGTATTGAATTGAATTGAATTTGCTTATTTTACGTGGCGAGACCCGGGCCATCAGGCCCGCTCTTCCGTCTGACCACGCAAATTTCGCTACGCTCCTTTCCCATAGCAGAGAAAGAGGTATTTCTTGGGCGAGAAACAGGCGATTTTGAATTTAGCTCAGAGCGTCATTTAGGCTTGAGGATCTTTTACATGCAAGTAAATCTACAACATGGGACAGCGGCTTTACTTCCCTCCGAAGGAAGGCGTACGAAGATTTTTTCGCCCTTAAAATCCACGGCTTCGATCGTTTGAACCGCCAACTTGGTCAACAGTAGTACAACCAGGCCGCCAACAGGTCCAGTACGCTAACCATACTACACCATCGCCGCCGCATAACGTAGTCCGAGAGTAATTTATTAATGTAGAAATAATTAGAGCATTAAAACTTTCTTCGTAACAATGTAATTATTACGAAGTTCTCCCTCTGAAACTTTCGCACCCAACACTCGGAACGCCACTGTCCCACGTGCTGAACCGCACGACCCACGCGCCGCGCACCTCACCTGCTCTCACTCCTCGATGGTCATGATGAGGTCCTCGCCCTCCAGCTTCATGCCCAGCTGCGCGTCCACCGACTTGACGACGCCCGTCGCCGGCGCCTGCACCACCATCTCCATCTTCATCGCAGACAGCACCACCAGCGCCGCGCCCTTCTCCACGCGCTCGCCCACCTGCGCACCGAGCGCGCCGTCAGCGATCGCCCCCCCCCCTGCGGGAGACGAGCATGTCTCAGGCGCGGGGGGCTCGCCTGGGGCGGGGAGTCAGGCAGGGGGGATGGCGAGGACCGGTGGAGCGGTCAGGGGCCGGGTGAGGCGGGCAGGGCTGGACGGATTGTGGCGGGGCGGGACGGGATGGAGCGGGAAGGACCGGATGGGTAGGACCAAGATGGGACTCAGGCGGAACAGGATGGTAACCTGGAATGGGACAGGAATGTGGCGGGTGGAGGGACGGTGGCAAGGGTGGGACGGATGGAAGTCGGTTTGGACAGGATGGGTGGGACCAGATGGGGCGAGGCTGGCAGATACGGCGGGGCGGGGCGGGGGGACTGGATGGAGCGGGGTGGCTCGCAAGATTTGGGATAGGATGTGGGAGAATGGACAGGATGTGGCGGTGGGAGGAATGGTGGAAGCGGGACTGATGGAGTCGGTTCGGACGCGGATGGGTGGGACCAGATGGGGCGAGGCGGGACAGAAGTGGTAGCGTTGGAACGGGAACGGAGGGGCGGGACAAGAGTGGGTAGGACAGATGGGACGAGGCGGAATCAGGATGTGACTGGGAAGAGACGCGATGTGGCGGGTGGGAGGGATGGTGGCAAGCGCGGGAACGGACTCCAGTGAGGTGGGACCGGGATGGGTGGGGACGATGGGGCGAGGCGGGACAGGACCGAGTGAGTGCGACCGGGATTGATGGGACAGATGGGGACGAGGCGGGACAGGAACCGAGTGAGGTGGGACCGGATTGATGGGACCAGATGGGGCGAGGCGGGACAGGATCGAGTGAGGTTGGGACCGGATTGATTGGGCAATGGGCGAGGCGGGACAGGACCGAGTGAAGGTGGGACGCGGATTGAGGGAAGATTGGGGGAGGCGGGACAGGACGTAGTGAGGTGGACCGGATTGATGGGAGCCAGATGGGCGAGGGGCGGGCACAGGACCGGAGTGAGGTGGGACCGGATTGATGGACGACAGATGGGGCAGCGGGACAAGGACCGAGTGAGGTGGGACCGGATTGATGGGACCAGATGGGGCGAGGCGGGACAGGACGAGTGGAGGTGGGACCGATTGCATGGGCCAGATGGGCGAGGCGGGACAGGACCGCAGTGAGGTGGGACCAATGGGGCCGAGCTGGACAGAATACGGCGGGGCGGGGCAGGGGCGGGACTGGGATGGAGCGGTTGGGACGCAGATTAGGGCAGGCGGGACAGATGTGCGGGCCGGGACAGGGCCCGACCTGGACAGGACGGAGCGGGGTGAGACGCAACGGGTGCGAGGCGGGACAGGACGTGGTGGGTTGGAAACCGGGACGGAGCGGGGAGAGGCGGGACAGGGCAGAAGAGCGGGGCGGGGCGATTCGAGAGGGGTGGGGTGTGAGCGTTGGGTGGGACCAGATGGGGGACGAGGCTGGACGAATGTGGCGGGGGCGAGGTGGGACAGGACGAGCGGTTGGACCGGATGAAGGGAACCAGATGGGGTGAGGCTGGTTCAGGATGGAGCGGGGAGGAATAGGCGCCAGGTGGTGGATCGGTATGTGTGGGGCCAGTCGGGCGGAAAGGGACAGAATGTGGTGGGGCGGTACGGAATGGAACGGGGCGGGCGGGGGGGGCGGGGCGGGGCGGGGCGGGAGCGGGCGGGGCGGGGCGGGCGGGGCGGGGCGGGGCGGGATAGGGGAAGAGGCGGGGCTGCGCGTTTGGATGGCGTACGTTACCTTGAAGCGGATGTCTACCACTTCGGCCGGCATCGGGGCGCCCACTTGGCCCTTCACGTTGGGCTGCGCCTTCGGGTGCACGTGGATCTCCTGCGAACACAAGACAACACCCAGTAGTTTACTTCTCATCTCATATTTCACCAAAGACACTCTCGGTGCAATATACAATTCAGTGTTTTGTAAGGATATTTTAACGTTTTACAACAATGACTCCGAGAACAATGCTCTGCTATTGGGCGGGTCCGCAAGGTGATGGATTGCGGAACTGTCTACACACAAGTACACATAGACTAGGGGAAAAGATGACGAGTCCCCTTGAACTAAGGCTGCTAGACTAACAGCGCGTGGAGGTGCAGTCCGTTGCGGATATGTCCTCCTTGAAAACCACAGAAGCTCGATGACAGCACAGTGACAAGTGCTGCCTCCGCTACCCTGCGGACAGGGATTACGCACCAAAGGCTAAGGGAAGGAAAAACTTTGGCCGAAAGAGAGGTCTGTAAGGGGCGGTGAATACAATCTCTCGAGGGAAGTAAAACCAACAGAAATCCTTGTTCTTCAGATCGGAGGCTGGACGATGGGCTAACAACAACTTTAAAAAAAAGTGCAGCCTCTCGAAGGAAAATGCCTGATCCTTTTTGGAAGAAAGGCCAAAGAGGGAACTCAATGGGCATTGTTCGTTCGCGAGGCCAGGGCTAAACTTACAGGGCCGTAGTGCAACAGGAAGCAGAGAAGACGATGGCTGTGCAACAATAACGAGACGTACACCAAAATATTTTTGCAACCTCCTTTGGACAGAGATGCATGGGGGAAGGAATAAAATGAAGCTCCCGAACTGGCGGGTAAATGCAGAGGTAGCCCGCGTTTTAATTTCTAATGATTCATTGATCAGTGGTTTGGGATTCTATGGTCTTTAGTTTCGTAACTGCAGTGCATATTTTTACCGCGGGAGGTGACTTTGCCCGCTGAATGCGTCAACTTATCTGTCGGCTAGCGGAGTTTTCCTCTGCTAGGTATCCCGACATCGGGGCACCGCCCTCCACCGGGACAAACTCTAAGCTCCCGACGGGTCTCCCGGCATCTGTGGTAGTGTAGTACATGTTAGTGTGTGTGTGTGTGTGTGTGTGTGTGTGTAAAGGTTGAGGATAGAAAAAAGGAGAAGGAAAGATCGCGCGCGGTCTGTGGCCAGTTTGCTAGGATACTGTTCCGGCATTCGCCTAGTATTGATCGAAACAAAACACGGAAAACTGGCGATCACAGCAGTCGGCCGCTAGAATTTTTCTCCAGATAGTATTCGAGTTCGATCCAGCTATGTAGCTAGCGTTGAACAGTCCTTCACAGTGGGGACTAGAACCTATCGGGCTCGGTGTCGAAATGAGCCTACAAAACATTAATCAAAAAATATTTCCCTTTCCCCGAATATTTCAACAGCACGGATGCTGCCGTGTCATTAATCGCTTCCCGGATTGGTGTCACGGCAGAAGCTTTCCCAACTAAATTACAACTTTCTTCTCCAGCACCAAATTTCACATTGATCCTAATTTAATCAATGCACAAACAATGAAGAGCCACAGAATAAGCCATCGCCGTTTTCTCTTAGATGCAGATACTAATAATAGAATATTATGCAACAAGTTATAACGTTAAGCTTTATTGCACGAGTGCATTTTTATAAATCGAAAGACATTAGAATGGATTTTTCAAATTTGTACCAATGCAATAAAGCAGTATTATAAACTAGATGCGTTAGTTATTTTCTATAACAACTCTAAATTTATTTGAGAAAAATGTTCATTATTGAACACAATTTTATAGCAACGTAACGAGTATTTGATATCTGTGCGAAAAAAGGTCTGCTCTTCGCTTTACCATCATGCGACATCTAGCGGCAAAACACAACGAATGATGGTGTACATATCCGAAGCTGACAAATAATTGAAATTATATAATTTAAGATTAGAATTATTAATTGGTGTTTTCTTTCGAATGACGGCGCACACACACGACCCCAACAAGAACAATGTGTTTTTGAACGGAAGAACTACCTTCGACAAAATATCTACGACGCGTGACGTTCAGTTGTTTGTAAAGTCGTGAACTTCACTGGTCCCAGGGAGATTCAATCATGCCATGCAATATGCCAAAGACCCTGAATGGTCAACGGAACTGGAAAACATGTAAACTAACGTGCACTGTCTCCGTACGTTCGTATGTGGCCGAAGCGATTCCTACTGGTGTCGACAATAGAGGTGACCAAATTATTAGACTATAGTTATCAAATACGAGAAAATGAATTTGCGACTAAATATTGACAACTATTCACAGGGTTATAATGTATTATAAACATTTTTTAATTAACATACTTGTTCTGAGGTACTGATTAATTTTATTTTATATTTGTAAGATAATTCTATGTAAACTATAAGTTGTCTCTGGCCAATTTCCAAAGTAAATTGTATTTATCCTCTTCGTTTCCTTTCTTTCTAAATGTATTACAAACCAACTTAATTTAATGGTCTGAACAACGTTTCGGGAACATATTTCGTCCTATCTTCAGGTCCTATAATTCGAAATAAAAATGAAGTTCCAGTCTAAGAGCATTGATAGGTATACGAGCGTGCGTATGGAAGGAGTTTTCATTATTACAAAACATACCAAGGTAGTGAAATTTTCGGAATAAAATAATTTTATTTGTTTGAAAGGTGAGCGACAATAGTGCTTGTTGCAATGTACGGGAGATGATCACCGTATTTTAGAAACCAAGTCATTTTTTGTTTTGTATGAATTGTATTACGGTCAATTGTCTCAATTCAGAATTAATAGAAATGTGGAAATCGCCTAGAAACACGTGCGCTGAAGGTGTGTACACCTGACACGTACATTACGCATAAAATTACGCATGTCATGTTTCAATACAGTTTTATTAATTGACTTGATTTGGTTACATTTTATTATATACTAGTGTTTTGAAACTTTGAAATTACATTTCCGGCATTCGATGGAAAGTTGGGTCCAGTCTGTTGGGGCACCAGCCGCCACTGATGTACTGTAAAATGTAATATTGTTTTGTATTGAGACAGCGTTCAGGAAATAGCCGCTAAGGCGCCACGTGCCCTTCCACTCAAAACACGTGGACACTTAGGTACTCGAGCCCAAGTGCAAACGTGGAGACACGTAGGGAGATCACTCAAAAGTAACGGAGTATTCTCCATGCGAATGCCAGCGGTGCATGGATCTTAGTCACCCGCCAGGTAGGGGGTATCTGAGCGGAGGTGCCCGATGAGAGATGGTGAACATTCAGTAGTAAGTTGTAACTGAGCAGCTCTTTTCTACACACTTCATTTTGGTATAAGTGGCTGTCAAGGTGAGTTGGTGTTTCACTGTATCTCTAACCCGAGCCAGGTGCAGCAGAGCGGTGCGAACATGTGCCGCACTCCGGTTTTTTTCCATCTCGGAGAGAAAACGAACAACAAATTTCTCGTATTTGGCATATAATAAAATAGACATTCTGTCACGGGTACCATGCCATAAAGGAATCCAGGGCAGTATACTGGTAGATTCAGGTGCTATGCAAGCAACTAAATTCCTTCTTCAAGAAAAGTCAGTTTCATAAAGTGATATACAAAAAATAACTACATAGACGTCGTAAGCACCAATAGAACACGAGGGGTGTAATTTTCCTAGTCAGCTCCACAAAATCAGAAGTATTTTTGATAATGACGCTCCTTCAGTACAAACAAAAATTACTCTAGCAAGACTCCACAAAGGACAACAGTCGTCTTACATTTCATTTCAAAAATCTTCATCACTGTATCTTGTAACATCTCCAACTATCCAACATATTTTTGTATTCATACTCCCATACTACACACTTTCATATTATCTCCCCAAATTACTTACTGAAACATAACACATGTATGTTTTCAATTTTCTAAAGGATATGAATTTGCAAAGAATTGTATATAGGATCGCTAATGACCTTGCAATTCACGCGACCAGAAAATAAAGCTTATTTTAAAAAAATCTCTCTTGCCCATAGCCATACATGAAATCGTTGTCGCGTCGCGTCAGTTTCTATGTGAATAATTCATGGAAAGAAGTCACACAATATGCCTCCCACGCCGACTCGAAGTACCTCAAGAAGCGCCACGGAGATACGAGTCCTTCAAGAAGCCAGTCGCCGGGCGAGACCACGCCAAACGCTTGCTCCGGCGCGGCTTAAGCACCCTCGTCAACCTCGCTCCTCCTTTCCTCGCTCCTCCTTTCCTCGCGACCGGCACGCTCCCAGCGGACCTCCGCGGAACTACGAACTTCCCCACCCACCCGCACCGCCGCCGCAGCAGCAACTCCTCGCCGAGGACGGCGCCGGCCACGGCCAACCCCACGACCCACACGACGAACGGCGCGCGGAGATGCAGCAGCGAGAAGGGCTGGAAAGTGAGCGACGGCTGGCGCTCGGCCAACCACGTGCCGTTGGCCAGCCTGCGTTGCGTTTCGATGTTCTCCAGAAACGTCCGCCTCACGATTCCGCCTTCCACCATCCTCTGCAGCAACGCGCTGAAACGACGCTTCTGCTTCCAACCTCGCCGCACGGCGAAGGAGTCGTAGGCCGGCGCCAGCATGCACTCCTGCACGTGGTGGAACAGCGAAACCCCGTGCACGTTGGCCTCCGGGAAGAGCGTGAACGCGCGCAGGATGGACTCGGTTGCCGCGATGGCCGCGCGGGGCGACGCGACCGCCTCGGCGATGGCGGCGCGCCGCTCGGCCGTCTTGCGAATCGTCCGCACTTTGCGCACCAGCGCGTAGAGGGTGCTGTCGTCGCCGGCGCGCACGCTGAACAACGCCTCCGAGGCCGCCGATGTGGTGTAGAGCACCTCCGCCGCTTGAAGCACCTCCTCCAGCGTGTCCATCTCCTTCTCCAGGTCGGGCGCCACCAGCGAGCCGACGAAGAAGCCCGAGAAGAGGTTGAGCAGGAGGAAGCTGAGGAAGCCCAACGGCACCATGAGGCGGCGCTGCTCCGCGCGGTACAGCCCCGTCACGAACGTGCGGAAGACCTCGAACAGCGAGTCGAGCGGGGAAGCCCCGTACGTCAC